GCTATAGTTCTTATTTGGTAACTGTTATATATGTTACTATGTTAAAGCTAAAACCCTTATTTTAGACAAAAAAAGAGATGATGGGAGATGTCATTATGTAAATATGTTTCTCTTATTGGTTAATAAATAAAGCCCTGTTGACTAGGAGACAAGGTAGATTCTGGGAGATGTAGTAGAGAGGGGTTGAAATGTAGGAAGCAAGAGGAGTAAAAAAAAAAAAAGTTCAGACCCTCTCTCCAGTCTTCATGGAAAACACTTAGGTTGATAAAAATGAGTTAATATTTAAGACAGAGCTAGCCAATAAGAAATGCTACTAGTAACTGGGCAACAGTTTCATAATTAATACAGCATCTCTTCATGTTTTTGGGGGCTGATGTGGCTGTGGACCAGGCTGGTGGGAAAGTGCCCGTAACAGGCACCAACAGGGCATACATGCTACCAGTATTATAGATAGAAAGAAATCCTCAGCTGCCCCTGAGGTAGCTTCCACACACCATTCCCTCTAAAGGCACTGTAGACAGAATGTACTTCACGACAGAGGAAAAAAGGGCCTGAGAGATGGATCAGCAATTAGGAGCACTTGTTGCCCTTGCAAATGACCTAAGGTCTGTTCCCGGCACCCCATCAGGTGGCTCACAATCATCCTTAACTCTAGTACCAGGGGATCCAACACCCTCTTTCAGGCTCCTGGACATCAGGCATGTATGTGGTGCACATTCACAAATTCAGGAATGTTCAGGCAAACATTATCTATACATAAGTTTAACTCCCTCCCCTTTTGGGTTTTTTTCAAAACAGGGTCTTTCTGTAGAACAGCTCTAGCTGCCCTAAAAACTCACTTTATAGATCAGGCTGGCTTTGAACTCTCACAGATTTACCCGCCTTTGCCTCCCAAATGCTGAGATTAAAGCTGTGCTTAAATAAGTATTTTTTTAAATAAGGAAAGGAAATTTTAACTTTGTTTTGCTGTTTAAGGAAATTCAACATGCATCTATGTCACCAACAAGATAAAAGTAGGGAACTCCTCTCTCTCTCTCTCTCTCTCTCTCTCTCTCTCTCTCTCCTCTCTCTCTCTCTGCTCTTCTCTTTCTGCTCTTTTCCTGTTCTCTTCCCACTTTCCTTACCCGCCGTTCCCCGGGGGCAGACAGGACTTTTCCTGTCTCCCTTTTCTCTTCTGTCCTCTCTCTGTGTCTCTTTACCTCTTTTCTCTTTCCTTCCATCTCCCTCCCCTTTCTAATAAAAGTTCTCACTTAAAAAGGATAAAATTAGGAAAAAATAAAACCTTCCCTACTTAGTAAGGCTCCTTGTAAAAGTCTTTGAACCTATACTTGCTTTCCTCATAGAACTGGAAAATTTTAAGTATATAAAAGTTACCAATAAGTAAAATGATTAGTCATATTAATAATACCAAAATTAAGAGTTTGGGCTAGTGGCAAAAGCCTGTAATTCCTACTAGGGAGGAACTGAAACAGGACTGCCCCAAACAAGGCCTGCCTGAGAATTCAGTGAGACCCTGCCTCAAAACATTAAGTAAGAAAAGGACTATGGACACAGCTCAGGGAGCTGCATGGAGCACACACACACTCATCAATCAGTAATGATCCCAGCAGGCAGAGCACAAAGGACCCTGAGATGACAACTGGTGGCCCCTTTTCTAGCTTCCTAATTGTTCATGTGCTCTAGTATTGAAGAAGGGCTGAGGAAATGGCAAAAAGATGGCTCTTGTGGCCTCACAACTGACACCACTGAGAACACACCCTTTCTTAAATGTGAACCGTGTGATTCTAGGGAGCCCTGACTTTCAGGAAATTGAAGCGCCCTGGACCAGCTGCCTGGGTCAAATCACACACTGAATCGGCCAAAATCTCAGCTATGAAGGACTTTTGCTCCTTACTCACCAAAGTCAGTTGCTTGTCTGTCAGCTTAAAAGTGGCCCTATTTGTCTATGATGGGAAAATGGATCTGACTCTATAAATATTTCCAAGTCTCAGCCGACACATTGTTGTCAATGAGGACACTACACAGGCAACCTTCAGGAGACTTTAGCTCCTGTCATCCTGACAGCGACTCCAAACAGGTTTCTCCTCTGACCAGCTCCCAGATTGGCACAGCTTGCTCTGTCCAGATGCACGGTGCAGTACAGTGGGGAGCAGTGCCCAGCAGCCAATAGCTAACTACCTTGCAGACTTGTAGCAGAGAACCTTCCTGAATACAGCTTCCCCTCAGCAGCACAAGGGGAGCTACAGTCAGCAGGGTCCACTCACTGGGCCACATCACTCCCTTTACACAAAGCCCAGAGCCTACCCAGAACCAGAAAGGGGACACTATCTACCCGTCCTGGTTAAGGCTGTGTCAACTTGACACAAAATAGAGAACCTCAACTGAGATGTTTCTGTCTTAGCCACTGTTCTATTGCTGTGGAAACACCATTGACCAAGGCAGCTCAAAGAAAGCATTTAACTGAGGCTTGTTTACAGTTTGAGAGGGTAAGGGCATGATCATCATGGCAGAAGCATGGCAGCACATATAGCAACTGGAGGAAGAGCTAAGAGCTACATCCTGATCCTAAGGGGGAGAGAGAGGGAGCAGGAGTTGGGGAGAGGAAGACAAAAAGGAAGAGTAGGGAAAGAGGGAGGAAAGAAAGAAGGGATGGAGACAGACAGACAAGGCCTGGCATGAGATTTTGAACCTCAAAGTCTACCCCTAGCGACATACTTCCTCCAACAAGGCCACCCTATATGAGACTATGGGGGCCATTGTTATTCGAACAACCATAGCCTCCATCCATTTGGCTTATAGGCAAGCCCATGTGCATTTTTTTGATTGATGACTAATGTGTAAGGCCCCACCTCACTCTGGGTAATGCTAACCCTGGGGCTGGTCAAGCCACAGGCAGCAAGCCAGTAAGCATTGTTTCTCCAAGACCTCTGCTTCATTTCTTGCCTCCAGATTCATGCTTAAGTTTTGCCCTGTCTTCACGATGTACTGCAGGCTGTAAGTGGAAATAAACCTTCTCCTCTCAAGTTGTTTTTGGCCAATGTGGTGGTTTGAAGAGAAAAAAAAAAAAAAAAAGGCTCCCAAAGGGAGCGGCACTATTAGGAGTGTGGCCCTGTTGGGAGTAGCTGTGGCCATACTGGAGTAGGTGTGGTCTTGCTAGAGAAAGTGCATGGAGACAGGCTTTGGAGTTTCATATTTGCAAGCCAGGCCCAGGGAGACAGTCTACTTCCTTTGGCCTGAATTATCAACATGAATTATCAGAACCACATCTGCCTACACACCACCATGTTCCTCCATAACAGACTGAACCCCTGAACTGTAAGCCACCGCTGTCAAATGTTCTGCTTTTTAAGAGTTGCTGTGGTCATGGTGTCTCTCACAGCAGCAGAAACCCTTGGACAGCCAGTGCTTTCTCAAAGCACTTGAAAGCAAGCTAACATACTACATCTAAAGTAAATGGCACAAAGTCTAGGAGGTCTTTTTGTATTTCCCATGCAATGAATACTATATGTGAGTGCGTGGCTGACTAATATACAGTCACTTGGAAGTTTTGAATTTTCAGCGACAACAGACAACAGAAAATTCTGCAGAAGCAGAGCTGTGGCAAGCTCCCACCACTGGTGGCTCCTGACTTGCTCACCCAATGTCACTGTAAGGCCTGGACCATTTGCACTGCATCAGCTCTATTAGAGATCTATTCAACAAAAATACCTTTCAACACTCTAAAGGACAAGCTCCTAGCAAGTTCCAGAGGAAGGACTTTGAGCAAGTTCAACTGTGCAGCACTCCAGACCCTTCCACCATGAGGAGTCACAGCTTCGACATCAGTCCTCGAAAAGGGGCCTCTGTACAGATCTGCCCCTCTTACACTCTTGGGAGTCCTTTCTTTACATTCAAGTCATCTCTACTCTAATCTGTTATATGTAATTCATTATATCCAATGTTCCCTACTCAAGCTGCTACAAGTTTTCTCTTGATGAGACTCAGACTAATATATCTTAATTACAAGTTGGACAGCTCTGTCCACTAGCTAAGTAAACAAGAGTTTAAATATTTTAAAAAATAAGAGTTCAAAAAAAAAAAAAATAAGACTTCTATTATATACAAACAAGCATTTCACAGAGTCCAGGAGTCCAGGACAAATTAACTCATAGAGCCCTTAATAGAGAAACAGACTGATTATGGTCTAGCCAATTATAACTACTGTTGGGAACTTTCTGTAGTTCAAACTATGATTAATAACCCCAAACATAATAATCACAAGTTTTAGAATTGTTTTTATTAATTTTAGTCGCTTCCTAATGGTAAAGTTCTAAAAAGCCTCAAATACGATAACAAAAGTTTTAAATGTAGCCTGGAGAGATGGCTCAGCATTTACAAACACTTGTCGCCCTTCCAGAGGTCCAGGGTTCCTTTCTTAAGCATGTGATGTGTGATGGAGGTATACACCAGCTAAATAGTATCTAGGGAAGGTTTGGGATGCAGGAGACTCACTGATGCCCTAAAGCCGGATCAATGTCTGTGCTGCCCATCAAGTAAAACTTGCTGAGAGTCCTGATACATAACAAAACCCAAAGAACTCCAGCAAAATAAATAAATAAAACACCAACAAACAGAAAACACACCAAGTTACCCTACAGAAAAGATCATCTGCCTTTCATAAAAGCAAAAAAGCACTGTCCCTTCCACCAAAAAGGAATGGGAAGGGCAGAGGACACTAAAAGGCAGGTTCAGCACACCTAAGTTTCTTCTCTTAATTAATTTTAGAATCATTGGCCAATTTCTCAAATAAATGAGGAAAGCTAAATATAAATTCAGTTTCTTTTTTAATCACTACAAGATGAAAAGCATAAAGTGGCAGCTTCTGGCAGACACACAAAATAAGGAACCCAAGCCTTCAAGGACTCTGAACTAACCCACAGTGAGCAGAGTCTCATTTAGAGAGACTGAAATGTAAGGATTATAAGAAAATGTTTTTTAAAAAGAAAGCCTATATTTCTTACTTGAGAGAGTCCAGGGGACGATGCATGTCCCGGGGGCGTGGCCGCAAGATTGGGGTGCCCCTTGCTTATTTCATGTGCTGAGTAAGGGGAAGGGGTTGGGGGTCCCGGCTGTCTTGCTACCTGTGTTACCTGTGAGGAAATGAAAGAACAGCAGATTAGTGACCAGATCTACAAGTACAGCTCAAATCATTGTTTAATTGGACTGTCTCACAAATTACAGTAAACTACTACTAAAGAGGTGCTTACTATCTGAGAATACATGAATATTTCCATCTGTTTGATAAATTCCTAAAACATAGTCTCCAAACAAACCAAACATGCTAAAACAAAAAATTTGCTAAATGCAATGTAACTTGAAATTGTATTGAATGTTTTATAAAAGACACAAGAAACAAATCCCTGCGGAAGTGAAGAGGCGACTACAGAGGCCCAGCTTTTCTGTAGTATGAGTGAGAATCCCATAACGTGTTTCTCAAGACTCTCCGGACTACCCAACGATGGTGCCTGCCTATAATCCCAGCACTCTGGAGGAGTGTGCAGGGGAATGCTGAGTTCAGGGCTGGCTTGTGTTCCACAGTGAGGCTGCCTCAAGAGAAGAGGCAAATTCTGGAAGAGTGATTTTGTCTACTGTGCCATCAACCCTGGGGTCAAACCCAGGCAGCACCCAGGGTTTGGTGGTGGCGGCCTGTATTCCCAGCTCTTGGGAAACAGGAAGATCAGGAGTTTAATGTCATCCATGGTAACACAGAAAGCTCAAATTCAAGGCTGGTCTGGGCTCCCATGACACTGTCAAACCAAAAAAACTGTAAGACAAGGACAAAAGCAGTTATTTTCTCCAATTAAAACCAGCCTGATAGTTGCTTCCTGAACTTTAGATAGCACAAAAGTACACCTACAAGTTGATGAATTATGTAAGAGTAAGCACTACTATAAAGCCCTTTGCCTGATGACAGGCTAATCTAAATGTTCTGAGGCCAGTAAAGGCTGCTCTATTCTTGTATGATCTGGATGGTCAGGTGGATTAAATGCATTTTCAATTGACTCAGTGAGTAAACCATTTGCCACACACAAAGGCATGAAGATCCACAGTTGATCTGCACCACCCAAAGGAAAGATCCATGGGGATTCACGACTGTAAACCCTGCACTAGGGAGAGAAGGACATGGAGACTGGGGAATCTCCAGAGCTCAACAGCCCACCTACCTAGCCAACTGGTAAACCCAAGCCTCACTAAGAGACTCTGCTTCCAAAGTTAAGGTGGACAACCATGAGAGGGACCTGCTACCAGCCTCTGGTCTCCACACACTGGAGAACAGAAATGCACACTGTCACACATACACACACAGAATCTAACACATGCCAGCTTTCCCTACACACAGAGAGACCCTAATCCACACCAGCTCCTCCTCCCACCAACACACAAAGAAACTGATACACCCCAGCTTCCCCTATATACACACACATACAGAATCTATTACACCCTACCTCCCACATACACACACAGAATCTAATACACAGAGTATCTAATACACCCCAGCTCTCCCTACAGACACACACAGAATCTAACACACCCCAGCTCCCTCCTGCACACACACAGAATCTAATACACCCCAGGTACATACACATACACATACAGACACAGACACACACACACACACACACACGCACGCACGCACGCACGCACACAAAATGCCCCCACACACAAAATAATAAATAGCTCTTTAATATAAATACAAAAAGAAGCAGTAACATTCACATGGTTGAAGTCCCACAAAAAATGGCCACATTGATTTTGTTTGGTGTTTGCTTTTTTGCTGTCCCTGTGAAGATCTGAAAACAGCTGATTGGTTGTTTTGATTTACTGTGATTTTGGATTTTTGAATCAGTGTCTTACAGGAAAGCCACAGTAACCAGTAACTGTACAGACCAGGCTGGCCTCAAACACACAACAATTCTCTCTCCCTAGCTTCCCTAGTGCTGGGCTCCAGGATGTGTATATCCAACAGGGTACCATGTTCTCTTGCACAAGATAGAAGCCAACTGTCAAGGGATTTGGCTTTCCCCAGAGGGCAGAGATGCAGGGCACTGGGAGGCTACTGTGAAATAAATATGGGCTGCCTAGGAATCCGTTCCCATCTTTTTTGTTGTTGTTTTTGTTTTTTCTAGACAGGGTTTCACTGTGCAAGAGCTCTGGCTGTTCTGAAAGTTGCTCTAGAGTCCAAGCTAGCCTCAAACTTAGAGAGATCTGCCTGCCTCTGCCTCTCCGTGTTGGAATAAGGGCCTGTGACACCACCATCTGGGCAGTTTCCATCTTAAAACGTGATTTTTACACTTACACTCCCATTGTTAATGACCTGCTTATATAACTGATCCAAAGCAACTGGTTTTAATTCCAAGGTACTAGTGTAACTCCATGCTTAGTATTCAACAATAAATAATAAACTGAAACTTATCAAAATCGTATTGCCAGATTGCTCTGGAATAGCATACGTCACAGAAGTGTCATTAAGTCCCCATTCTGAGATTAAGTTACAGATCATTACCTCCCAAACACAAATGTAAAACAGAAACATGCAGACTGTAAATATTTATTCCAGGAATCTTGTAAGTAGGCCAAACAGCATTAAGAACGTTGGTCTTAGAGACCCAGGTTTGACTATTGGTGTGGCTGTACAAAAATTTAGTTTCTTGGGTTGGAGTTGGCTCAGTGGTTAAGAGCACTTGGTTGCTCTTGCAGATGACCTGGGTTCAACTCCCAACACACACATGGCAGCTCACAACCATTTCACATCTACTTCTTCGAGATCAGACATCTTCTTCTGATCTCAAAGAGGACCCCCACACACCACACACACACACACACACACACACACACACACACACAAACAGAACATACACGTAAAATAAATCAAAAAATTTTCATTTCTTTTCTTACAAAGAGAAAAGAACCTGTCTTATAATGGCACAGGTTTGAGTGGCTTGCAAGGCTTTTATCTGGAGGGCAGAAACTGCACATTGACTCAAGCTGACCTTGCAGAACTGTACACTGGTCAATCTGGGCTATTCACCTTCAAATGGTGCCAATCACACATCTGGTAACACCCTAAACATAATGCTACTTCTCCTGAATGGAAACTCTGATAGCCCACTGCCCTATGATACAAGCAGAACTCTAGTTACTGCCCAGTCCATTGGCCTCCTGTAAACTCAATAAACTATTTTTCTTTAGCCTTAAAAAAAATTAAAAAGTAAAATTAAAAACCTATTTATGCAATCCATTGAATGATGTATGCTTCACATTGATAGTATAAAGTATACATACATGGTAGCTACCATGTTTAATTTTCTTACCAACATTTAAAGTGTTGGTTTTAAAACCTTGAATGACAGTTTTAGACAGAAATGATTGGCACTTTGATTTTTACTGTCACACCTGAGAGGATATGACGGGTTAAGTGAATGCAGCAGTTTTCAGTGTGTCCCTAGACTAAAAGCCTGGGCACCACCTGGGAGCTGGATTAAAAATGCAAATCTACCAATAGCGAATGAGGCCCCAGCAATGCTGGCACAGCACCCCCAATGTCCTGCTTGTTGTTTTCAGCCCTCAGAACTGTAACACAAATTAGCTGCAGGCAGCCTACTGGAGAACACGCACATGCTACACTGTGTGACCCATGTGTACCAACACAGTCCGCTGCCAAAACATCTAGGTCCAAGCTCTCTTCCCAACCTGGACTTTTTTGCTGCCTCAGCCTATCCTCTCACACCCTCCACTCCTGTAATCCACATCCCTGAAGTTCACACTGGGTTACCAGAAACGCTGGGGAACGATGAGGTCTACACAGCCAATTTTCAGATAGCCAGAAATTCATGACCTCAAACAATGAGGACTATTTGTAGCATGAACCCAGTGTGAATAGACCTCCTTGACACTACACACAGAATGTAACCTAAACCATTTTAGGTACACTATCCAAGCTTTCTGTTTTCTTTTTTTATTTTATTTTTATTTATTTATTTTTTTGTTTTTGTTTTTTGTTTTATCTATCTTGAGACAGGTCTCTTCACTATGTAGACCAGGCTGACCTAGAACTCATTTTGTAGACCCAGCCAGCAGGCCTTGAATGCCCAGAGAACCACCTCATCTCTGCCTCACAATAGCTGAGATTAACGACATGCAAAGCAGCAACCAACCGTTTTCTACAGATTTATGGAGTCAGGGCAGAGCAGTCCCAGCACTGTACTTGAGGCTAAACTTTATCCCTTTGACAATTCACACCCTCAAAATTCAACAAACAATATTCTGACAGTCCCCTAGCATGCTCCAATCAATGTCACAAGTCTATGCATCCTTTTCAATTACATGGGCTTTGCTCATGTGTATAGTGCCAAGCTAAATCTCCTCTTGAGATTAATTCCTCACTCAGCTGCCTCCATGCCTGGGTTGCAATGTTTTGCCAACCTTAAAGAAACTGAAAGGCATTGTTGGCCTGCTTCTAACACAACTACATTCCCTCCTTTCCCCAGGGACACAGTAGCACAGGGGGTGTTTCAAATATGACAGAAAAGCACACTATGGAGGGGGGCACACAGGACTTCTGCTTACCCTCAGACAAGAGTCTGCTTGTGGTCAAGACTTGCTAGCTGATTTGGGCTTTTTCCTTTTCAGGGGGCAGGAGGAGCCAAAACTATGTTCCACATGTCCTACAGCTTGTTCTTCCCTGTGTGAGTGCTAAAGTCTAAGCAGGGTGAGGTAACCTCCCTCTCCGCTGCGCTTTCTTCTATGGAACCTACCCTACACATAACAAACAGAAGGCTCATGCCTGTTAATGCCAGCACATGGGAGTTAGAGGCAAACAAATCTCTGTGAGTTCAAGGCCAACCTAACAAATTCCAGGTTATCCAGGGACACATAGTGGATCCCTTCTTTAAAAATAAATAAGCAAACAAACAAAAAAGATGAAAGAATCATAGCCCCAAACCTTGGCTATGACTGCCCAGCTTGTACTAGAACATAATTAGCACTCCAGATAAATGTCTGACCAACTTCCAAACTATAATGATTTTTCTCCCATAAAGCTTCCCACCCAACCCAGTTAACATAGCCTAAAAACCTACCAGAATCATAC